CACTTGCCATAGCTTATTAGGAGTAAGGCCTCGCGGGTTCACTCCTACTTGTTGCAGTGGGCCTAACGGGGCAAGGGGTGCACAATTCTTGCAAGAGTGCACTAGGTGTTTGCATTGGCTCATTGTTAGCTCTGGGAAAAGCAATTTTATGTTGCTTGCTGACATTTGAAATTTTTGGTGTAAAATACGGGCTTGTTCTAAGTGTCCAATGGAAGCTGTGTTGCAGGTGATAAGATGATCAACCTTTCTGTTGCCTTGGAAAATAAAGCCAGGTAACCCAGTATGTGATCTTGCGTGTGAGATATACCATGGGTATTTTCTGTTCTCAGTTAGCTCTTCAAGTGTTGTGAACATCTGGTCAATTGGCTTATTGGTCGGGTTAAAGACTGCAAAAGGGATCATCTTTGCTACCTGTACCAAGTATTTGCTGTCCAAAAATATATTTACCGCTCCATCTTGGCTAATGAGTAGAACCTTGACTATTGCTCTTATTTCTCCCAACTGTACTGATCCCCCGTGGGGTTCTACATGGATCTTATCTTTTTCCTTCTCTAACTTATAATTATTCTTATTGGGACTTTAGTTTCGTAGCACAACCGTTAATTCTCAGCACAAGATGAAGAGTAGATGCCTTTTGAATGTCGTAGTCAGACGAAGTTCATCCATCCCCCAGTTGTTTGCCAGCAAAGATCAGTCCTTGTTGATCAGGAGGAATGCCTTCCTTATTCTGGATCTTGGCCTTCACATTTTCTGTTGTATCTGAGGTTCATCCTCAAGTGTGATGGTCTTCTGCTGGTTCAACCCCCAAATGGCTGCAATGGGCTGAGCTGAGCAAGTCTGAAGCCAGGAGCTTCTTTCAGGTCTCCCATGCGGGCGCAGGGGCTCATGAACTTGAGCCATCTTCTGCTTTCCCAGGCAAGAAGAGTTGGATCAGAAGAGGAGCAGTCGGGACACAAACCGGCATCCATGTGGGATGCTGGCACTACAGGTGTAGGCTTAGCCTGCCATGCCACAGTGCCAGTCCCCAGTTAAGACATCTTTATTACAAAAACAATATCAAAGCACAATATTTTTTGTTCTGCAATGTAATATTTTTAACCTAACATTACTTCCCAAATATGGGGGGAAAATCATCTTTCCTAAATTATAATAGCTCACATTCAAAAATAAGGAAAATATAGCTGAACAAAAATAGGTGTCTTTTTTTAATTCCCCGAAATATGCAGCAGATTGCTAACAACTTAAGAACCATGTAAAAACTAAAATTTTGAAGAATTTGCTGAGTAAAGCAGGATGAGTCAGAAGTGACGAATCAAAGCCAGATTTACTTTTTTGTTGCCTGTTTTATTAGCTTTTGTGTTTGAATACTGGCATTGCACTTCAGATATCTTTTCCAACTATTTCATTCAACATTCAATTTAAATAAATTTTCTTTTAATGAATATGAATTAATTACTGGAGAAATAGTGATATATTTCCTGTTTTTTACTAAATTCACACAGAAAATTATGTTCCTGGGAAATACACCATTAAGTAAAATGAGAGGTCCAGTTTTTTTTATGAGTTATAGGAACGATTGCTTAACTTTTTAAAGAAATAACCACTATAGCATAGTTTCCACTCTGTTGGCCTGATTCTAGTTATTTTCAAATTTTGTGCTGAATTGCAAACTCTACCTTTCTTTGCTTGGTCTCCCTGATATAGGTTTGCAAACTATATCCTACAGAGTTTGATTCCTTATCAAATGTCCTTTAGAAAACATGTATTTTTTGCATAATAAGAAAGATTGATTCTAACGTCAAATCAGAAAAAACAATAATGTATATTTTACATGTAGCTGTGCTTACTGGGGAAATATGAAGTGATAAAAGGAGGTAAAATGAAATCCTCGGATCAGTTTTCCAGAAAGCCACCACCTAGCCTTAAACATCACCTAAATTTTTCCAAAAACTTCTCAAAATTTCCTTTGGATTCTGGAAGTGGCAGTTTTTGATTTTTCTGGGAAGATGAGTACATGTTGTGTACAAGAGATCCTCAAAATATTCATGGAAACATATTTTATAAAAAAACTGTGCATGGATTTTGGATTTTTTTCTACCACATTAAACATAGCTTTTAATTACACTTTCCATAAATGTTTGGAAGCATCCTTGCATTACAGTAGTAGTATAGGCTACACTAACAGCAGCAGCATCATTAGCTTTTGCCCTGCATTATGTTACACATATTTCATTTGCCACCATGTAATTTGTAACTGGAAAAGGATATAAGCCCTTCACCAAAAAAATCTATAGTATAAAATATATGCTCCAGAAATAAATTTTGAAAGTTGTGGTTGCTATGGGAACCATTGATTGTACTTTTTTTTTTCAATAACAAGCCAAAATATTGACTGGAAACCAAAGAAGATACATCTTTTCTTTTGAGCTGAGAGTCGAAGAAAAGAGAAACAGCATGAGTTCAGAGAAAGCAGCCAATGGGTATACTTCTAGTTATTTTAGGCAGGTATTGATTTTATAGGTAGAATTGATCACAAACTACCTGTAGCACTCAGGGCTTTGAGCCTTCATTTTTGAGTCAGAGTAGAGAAAGGTATTTCTACTGCTGTCATAAGTTAGGCTTTCATTAATGTCCCAACAGAAATATCATCAGCCATTAATCTATTGAAACAAAAGTTTGCTTGCAGGAGTATTTTTTCTTTATTTTTTATACTAATTAATTTTGTACTAAATAATGTCTTTTGAGAAAGAGATAAAAATGCTAACTCATCCCTTGGGGATTAGAATAATGACAAATTCTTTTAAACAAATTGTTTAAATTGTAAGTTTCTGAGGGTGCCTCCAGGAATATCAAGAAAAGACACAAGAAGAAATTAGGTTTCTGAATTCCAAAGGTGCGAATTTGAGCCTGTCATTGTCACAACATTTCAAAAAACTTCCACATGTTGGTATGTCATGTGAGGATGATTCATCTCCCATGAGATAATCAGTGATGTTTCATTGGTTCTGGAAAAACGTTCACAAAACAAATTCCCAGCCAGAGCAGAGAGAAGTTAACAGTGACGTTTTTAATTAGAGCAGAGATCAATTAACAGTAGCCACAAGAAAACACAACATCTTATGTATAATAATCATAAAACCCTGTGTCCAGTAAAGACACATTCACAATAGCACAGCTTTAGAGACATTTGGTATCCAATAACTGTGTATCTGGGTTTAACCGTAATCTGACACATGGCCAAGATAGGACTGTGGGTGCCAGAATACATGGTACTTTGAGTAGGCTGCGAGAAAAGAGAGAAGATACTGCCACTATATTTTTTTAAAAAAATGTATATTTGGCAATGTATTCTATATCAGTGTACTTCACTGGATATGCCAAATTTTGTTATGTGTAACTTGTAATATGATATAAAACATTTTGGATCAACTGATGAAATTAATCTGATTCTTAGGGACAAGTGGGCATACTTCTGTGATGAGTAACAGAATCTCCATTTCCATAGAATGTCCCCTGGTGTTAAATACTCAATGTGCTTTTACTATCATTTTACCAAATAGGAGTGTCTGATAGACTTCAGTGATGCCTGAAATCCAAAACTATAATAATAATTTAAATCTAGAAAACCTTACATAAGCATCATATTTTATCCATAGGTAAGTGTCATATTTTATCTATATAATAATTATATTTAGCAGCACAGTTTTGCCTTGAGTGTTTAATATATACTGTGATAAAAGCAATTATGCTATAGAATACTTTGAAACAATCTAAAAAAACTAAGTCCTTAAATATGTATATGTGTGTAGCAATATACACCTACTAAAGATGACTAAAACTGTCCAAAATGTATTCATTAATTAAAGGAGATCTCTTTACATTTAGACAGGAAATATCATTGCTATTTTAAATATGAAGAGTGATTTTTTTCCTCTATATATTTGAATTTTGTTTAATTATTGGAAATGACATCTCACTACATTCTAGATAATGCTTAAAAACTGATATCTTAAAAATTATAGATGTTTAATAGTAAATAGAGCAGGTTAATAGAATTGTTTATTTTTGGCTCTCAGAATCTGGAAACTCAGGAGTCAAAAGAAACTCTTATAAGCAGCCAAATTCCTAAGGCTCCATGGTGAATGTGCACATCCTCCCAGGAATATCTCATTTGAGCTGGTGTGTTAGTTACAAACCAGATTTGTCGAAGAGATGGCCCATGAATTCCAGTGAAGGAAACTGATAAGCCTCCCTGAAAACCTTTGTAACTAAGGCAGGGCAGGGTCAAGATGAATGGAAAAAACTAAAAATTCTTTCAATAATTGTCTCATGAAAACGGCCTTGAGTATGTCTTTATAATCATTCTAAAGGTGATTAGCAGATGAGTAAGAAGGTAAACATGTTCATGTATGTGTGATTCGTATTTTAGACAAGAAGTCACTTCCAGAGCAGTATTAAGTCTTTTCCCAGAGAGGATGAATGAAGGCGGCTAGATACCGTCTCAGAAGTGTGTGCATTCAAATTCTAGTTCCTCCGACTACCTGTTGTACAGTTGTCTGTAAGACGGTCATAGTGATATCTACCTGACAAGCTTGTTGTGAGAACAGTGGCTAGTCCAGGAAAAGTACTGTTAGTCTTTAATATAATGCCCAGATTTGAAAGAAAGAAAATGAATTAGTGATACTAAATATCATATGGGAAAAGAGGGTCTGTGGAATCAGTGAGACCTCTATTAAAATCTCAGATAATGCTACTGGTGAAATGACCTTGAATATGTCACCAAACTCCTCAGAGTCCCCGTTTCTTTATTTTAAAAATTGAAGTGATAGTTGTGGAATTAGTTAGCGGACAAGGGATAAGTGCCAATTCCGTGCAAATGATAAATATTCAGTGTTAGGGTCCCTTTCCCCCCAACACTAGAACTAGTTGATAAAAAATTATCAAGTCTTTGGTTGATTGTTTTTATGGCTAATTAAATGTATTCTGTATCCTTCTTTTAGGGTGAAAATGGTTTACATGGTGTTCCAGGCTTACCTGGTCAAAAGGTAAAGAGTTTTCTTAAATGGTCATATGGTTTAAGGCTTTTCACATCTTTAAAACTGAATTGGTACATGATATACTAAAGACTCAGAAATTTTCTTGCATAAAACTGAATTCCCTCAGAGACTCCTAGCTTTCCACAGAGGACTCCTCAAGCAGTCCCCTCTCTAAGTGGTCTCAAAGGGACCTCTTTGGGAGCAGTCTTTATCAGAGTGTACGCAACATCATCAAAGAAGTCATCTGTCATGGGGGTGTATGTAGCTCTGGAGATGTTTTCGTTGTTATTAGCCAGAGTCTAACATGTGGAATAGAACCGTTTTTATTGCCTTTGGATGGATTTGGTTACTTCTTGCTTTTCTTCCCTTTTGTGTATCCCAAATTGAGCCTAATAGTAGTTAGAAGATATAGATATTAAATATTTAAAAAGATGCTGCAGACAACTACTCTCTTCAAAAATATTTTTTAGAAAGATAAATTAATCATAAATAAGACATTTGGCAAACTCTCTGTGCCTAGAATCTTTCTGTTTATCAAGGTGAACTTTGCACTCATTTATTGTCTATAGGCTACTTTCTCCTTCTGGGAAGGAGCGTGATTCTATGTGGCCAGATCCATTGGAAACACAGAAATGGTATATTCTAATTTCCTGGAGAGATGGGAAGCCCCTTCAGGTGGGGCCAGCTGTCAAGATACAACCCAGATAATCCCACCACAGGGGAGAGCATTACTGGTGCAGTATTAGCTGTCCACTAGGTCCAACCATATAATTTCTATGCTCTGGAAAAGTTTCACAGGTTTTAAGCAACAAGACATCTGAAGTTACTATGTATCCAGGTTTTCTCCCTGCTATCAGAAAATACCATTTAAAAGATGGACACTTATTTCTAGTAACAGCTTTTGAAAGAAAAAAATCTTCCTTAACTTGGCTCCATCACCGTAGTAAGACTGAACTGGCAGCAATGAAACGGCCAGCTTCTGAATTTCTGCACAGCAGTACTAGACAGAACCCAGTGATCCAGCATGTGCTACGTCTGTGAGCTGAGCTGCAAGCCAAGGGATGTTCAGATTTATCTGCTGGGAAATGGTTTTGGACTTTCCAGCAGCTGTTTGTGGTGGCTGCATCCTGCTAACATTGTGGCTGATGTCCTGGAGGCGTTTAGCAGCTTCGATGTCAGCTGGAATTAACAGATCAAGTTGAAGTATGTATTTTAGGAGAAGTGGTAGAAAAAAGGTATATTTTCAAGCCAGTCTGTTATCTTTCCTATTAACTTTTTTAAACATAGATAAAGCAAAAATAATTTCTCAGTGATATGTCTGTGTGTATATATGCACACAATACTCAAATACGTGCATATGACGTGTATGTGTGTATATATGTATTCATCAATGATGTATCTATATACGAAAATATGTGTTTATTAAAAAACCGGCATTGTTTGCCATATAATTAATAGGAATTTTAATTATACCAAGCATTATCTTGTTGAAGCATTGCTGTAAAAACTGCAGATAACAACCCCTTCATCCTTTGCCTCTATGCACTGAGCTAGTGCTTGCAGACTGCTTTTTATGCTCAAGCCCACTGTGAGAGGACAAGTACACAGGAACAGGCTAGCACTCAGGTCCTGGCGGTGTTGTTATGAGTTCTTCAGTGATTGCTTGTAGAATTGTGAATGGCACATCAGTACGCTAAATTCCATGCAGAGTGAAGTGAAAAATAAATTTGTCAGATCAGAGAGATTTTAGCTGAAGAAAAGGAGTCTTACACTATTAAGAATAAAGATATTGATTGAGAATAGATAGCCCTACAGCCACCAGTTCCAGGGAAGGGCACAGAGCTGGTGTTGGAACGAGAGCCAGAGTTCAAACCTGAATTTATTCATCATGGGACTCTTACTAGAACAGTACTGCATAGGAGTCAGCTTTCTAAGAAGGCTGTCCCTACTGGATCTAGTGAAATAAATGGCAATAATAGCAGGAAGGGCTGAGTTAGCCTGTACCAGGCTTTATGTTGATACATTCGATTCTTAAATCAATGAAGATATTATTATCATGCTTTTTTATTTATGGAGAAAATTAAATGCCTTGGAAGTAGTAAAACTACTAGTAAATTGTTCCTTTTAATATTTAGAAATATTTAAATATGTAACTTAACATTGGGTTAGAACTACATATTAGACATATCATTGCTAGAAACATAAAAGTATGTGTTATGTGTGTTCTTATTACTATACACATCATATTTCTCTTCTATAGGGAGAGCAAGGTTCTGAGGGCAACAAAGGAGAAATTGGTGAAAAGGTAATATCTCTATTTACATATGCATCTATAAAAATAAACTGTGTTCTTGAAAATATTTGGAAATGGAATATCTGACTTGTGCATTCTGTGTAAGCAATTCAATAACTTTATAAAAATAACTAAAATATATTTGAGATTTGATTAAAGTAGACAAAAAATTAAACTTATTTGGACATAGACATTTTAATTAAATTTGTGGATATATGAATGATTTAAACTTTTATTAAGTATTAAACAGTTATTTTATTACATTGCTGATCCACTAAGTGTCCAAATCTTTAAATAAAAATTTAGTTTACTGGTGGAATTTTCGCTGAGGTATAAATAAAAGTAATTAACTGTAACAGGGTAATACAGAAAAGAAATGGCATGCTAATATTAGAATAATTTCAAAGAGTTTAATAAAGGAATGATATAGAATGTATGGGCAAGGCATAAGAAAACCACAAGGATTGTGGAGTATCTCAGGTCAGGTTTCAGCAGGCATCATAAACCTCCAATGATTGAGAGTCCCAAAGGAGGAGAAAACTGTTTGGAGAAGGCTACAGACAGTAGCTGAGGGAAGCAATCCTCCCAGGATAGCACACGAAGCCAGGGCTATGAATACCTCTGTATCTCTCTCCTCCAGCCCTCAGCTCTCAAGCTGGCGACTTCCACTGGCCAAATCAAATTGAGAGCCAGTAGGGTGGATGAGCCCCCACAGAGCATCCTCCCAGCGTCAGAGCAGGATGAATAAAAAGGGTGACTGGTGGATCTTAAGGAGCTAAGGGCAGAAGCCACACCATTAACCTAAGTGCTATCATCTTAAATTGCCATCTCACAAAACTAAATTTTAGGTTGGTAATTTTTCATTTTTTAGAGATTTTATTTTAACAAATAACTGCCAAAGTCATTTGCTAGGTTGTTACGGCAAAATGTTTAAACAACCATTATTTCACAGATTTCCACCAAAAGTGTGAATACAAGTGCCTGAGTGTCCACGATTTCCCTTCAGACGGTTGATGCTTGAATCCTTCTGCATTTCAAAAATCTAACTTAGTTTCCAAATAAAGCTCGAACAATACCATTCCTTTGCTTCATAACTCACGTATGCATTCAGTGTCGTGTAATTGGATGACCAGAAGAACTAGAAAGAGGAATGGATAATCTCAAATTAGACAATATTGCCTATGTTTAGCTTTCTTGGCAGTGATCAGTAATTTGCTTCTTTAATAAGTGTTTATGGGGATAATGAACATCTACTATAATTGTAAGACAAATTACACATATTGTAAGCTTCATGGTAATTACTTTTCCTCACTGAACTGTGAGGAAGAAAAAAGGATGGCCAGATAATAACCATAAAGTTGGTGTGAATTTCATCAAATTATAAGTTTTTTACAATAGGTCTTATTTCTTAGCAATCCCTTGAACACTTTTGTTTTAGAATAATAGACATTGTGATGCCAAGCATTCAAATAAATACTTTCCTTATATATATTCCTGGTTAAGACTGGAATTTTTTCTGTATGAGACTAAGCAAGGACAGTATATATATTATATATGTGTACATAGTTGGTACTGCTCAGTAATAAATTGATTCTCAGGAGCTATGAGGTATAGAAAAAATATTTGCTTTATTTGCCTTCAGTGATTTTCCATGTAGGTCCTTATATCCATTAACTGTTGCAGTCTGTCTATTTAACCATAAGGAGAAAATACTTATGGAGATGAAGTGCCAAACAGGAAGGACAATATGTTGAATTACAATAACAAGTCAGATTTAAGATTTCCAAAATAACCCTGTGTTTAAAAAATGCATTCTGCTTTATTATTTACTATGTGCTAAATGCTTGACACTTTTATAGTTTTATGTGCTTTGTACTCTGACCTATAATCACACATATTTTCTATAAGATCAATAATTCAGGTCATCTGAGAGCTAATTTCTAGATTTAAAAAAATTGTGGGAAGCGCACTCCCTTTGGTGTGACATAGCATGAGATTCTTGAGTTATTCTTAACATACTTGTTTTCTGAATGAAGTCAGTAATTTCAATTTCAATTCTTTGCGGTAAACAGTATATAAATATAAACAGACTAATCTTTTTTTCTTTATAACCACCTTATGGCTTTCACTCTGTTTAAAATTTGACTGTTTTGAGTGATACAACTGATGAGCTGCAAAATAAGCTAATTCAAGGATTTATTCTTTGTGAGAAATGTCTTATTTTTCAAAGACCATTCTTACTAGTTTCAAAAAAAATAAAAATTAGTTATCTATGGAAAAGATTACCATGTGATTATTTTAGGTTATATTTCTATAATAAAGTTTAGATACCTGCTGTTCTTCATTGCAGCTAGAAAACGTCTCACTAGATGAAGTGATTCCTAAAATGTTTAGCCTGCTGTCCGTAATCCAGGGAAGAATTTACAGAACTTGAGCAATTTACAGAGAACTTCATTTGAAAGTATACACCTGAATCTTTAAGTACTGGCAGCAAGAGAATGGAATCTCCTATCTTATGTGCGACTGCAGTTCAGCTAAGTCAGTTTAGAAGTGAAAAGCTGTTTGCAGGAATAATCAGTTTTCTCAAAAATTACTTCTCTGACCCCTGTCCCAGAAGACAGCTAATTTCAAGTTTTCTGTGCTCTTTTTTAATAACATGGACGCATAAGAACGACCTTGTGCCACTTCTTATCCCTTGCCTGCGAAGTTAGATGTGCTTTACCAGAGGACCCTTGTACTCTTTGATAGCAGAGCTCATGAATAAAGATGGAAAGACACTGTTCATTTCTGAGATCTAGGTTCTGGTTTCTGTGTTTCCAACACAATGAGATGAAACTTTCTTATTTTGGATTATCAATTAGAGGTGGGCATTTGGCCTTAGGGTTAGGATGCTGCTTGTGACCCCAGCATCCCAGCCTGGATTCAAGTCCTGGCTCTACTCCTAGTGTGTCAGCTTCTCATTGTTGTGTGTCTGAGAGGCAGTAGGTAATACATGAAGGACTTGGGTCCCTGCCACTCACATGGGAGACTTGAATTGAGTTCCTGGCTCCTTGCTTTGGCCTGGCGCAGATTTGAATGTTGAGTGAACCAGTGAATGGGAGTCAGTCAGTCTCTCTCTCTTTCCCTCCTTCCCTCCTCCCGCCCCCTCCCTCCCTCTCCGATAAAATAAATATTTTTAAGAAATTAAATTATATATTACAATAAAAATATTGAACAGATTTATCAACTTTATATCATTCTTTTCAATCTCCTATGACCTGCAGTTCTTAAAGTTATATTTAGACAGGGGGATTTGAAAACTGTGTCAAAACATATTTTCCAAACTTGAAAGTGTAGAAACAGAAAAATGAAATTCTTCATTAGAATGTTAATATAAACAATATATCAATTAAGCCAAGAAATGATTTTGCACTTTTACATATTATCCTTATTAGTTTAAGCTAAAAGAGAATTGAGACTAGAATACATGGAAAAAGAAGGTCAGCATTGAAATGTAGGTTTAGGATTTCACTTTTAAACCTTCTTGGCAATTATGCTTCATATTCAAAACTAATGCAAGAGTGTTAAATAATGCTATTATAAATACAGCACTTTCCAATCATCACTCTAAAGCAACTGTCAACATGTCACCTTACTTACTGTGAACTCTCTCTTGGCTCACCTTGTAGAATTCTACTGAACATCAGCCTGTTATGTAATTGTTTCATTTACCCAGTAATATATAAACTTCTACAACTTTTAGTAAGGAGTCACTGGTTTGATTTGACAGCTGACTTGAAAAATGAATAGAACAGATGGAGTAGAAAAAAAACTATAATTTCAAAAATCAGAGCAATTTATCTGTGGCCAGTGACAATTGCTGTGGCAGTAACCATGCCAACTTTCAATTATGCATGGTAGCAGGCCAAGGGGTGGCTTAACTGGCCACTCCACAATGCTGGCCCCAAGAAATATTCTTTAACGAGATAGGACCCAAAATATAGAGTAAGATCAGTTAAGTAGAGAATTGAAGATGTCTTATACTTTCTGAAGAATGTCATAGTTAGGCCAGTAATAATATTGTATTTAAGTAATTCTCATTAAATCAAGAATAAGAGAGGAAGGTAGTTGATCTGGCAGTTAGGACTCCTTTTTGACTCCCACATCCCACTTCAGCCCACATCCCACTTCAGGTTCAGATTCTAGTCCTAATTCTGTTCCGAGTTCTAACTTCTTGCTAATGCAGATGTCAGATGGCAGCAGGTGACGGCTCAAGTAATTGGGTCCGTGTTACCTACATGGGAGATGTGGATTGAATTCCAGGCTCCTGGCTCCTGTTTGGCTCAGCTCCAACTGTTGCTGACATTTTGGAGGGATTAACTAGTAGATGGGAGTGTGCTTGCTCGCTCGCTCGCTCTCTCTCTCTCTCTGCATCTTTCTCTGTGTTTCTCTGCCTCTCAGATAAAATAAATAAATTTTAAAATAAACAGATCACCATTCCAACAATGGTGCCAGCAATATTCTGCAATTTCTGTCCAGTGTCAATATTTCTTCTAAATTATGATATAGTTTGAATTTGTCCATTTTTCTCCATCTGCCACCAAATCACATAATCATTTGTCTCCTCCTAACCACTCTGTTTTTTATTCTTATGTCCAAATCATAGCCAGGTGGTTATTTACCAAATCAATCATGTGGATCCTGTTTTTAAAACCTTTTACTTGTTCCCCATTAAGTTAAAATCCAAAATCTTTGATATAGCCAACAAAATGCTGAGCAGTTTGGCCTAGCCTTCTCTCTCTAAACCCATCTCTCCTCATATTCTCCTTTTCTGTCTCTGCACCAGCCACATAACCCTTCTTTCTGTTCTTTGAATTCACCAAGCTCTCCCCTGCCTTAGAGCTCTCCGTTGGTGTCCCTATCAACAGCATTTGGCTTACTTCTGTCCTTCAGTTGGCTTACCTGTTAAATGTTATTATTTCTTAAAGTCATTTTCTTCAATACTTACTTGATTCTCCCATCAAAATTTGTTC